AAAAATTAGACCAGGTCAAGCGAGTTAAGGAGGAATTCTACTACATATATGCAAAACAGGAAAGCTAGTAATAAAATAAAAACGGATGTGCATGCAATCAAGACCAGATGGTCTCTGGCTGGTGATGAGCTTTGAAAAATGTGCCCAGGACTTTGCACTGCCCCCAGGGCACAAGTTTTTATTCCTTATATATATATATACCCTGCGACATGTAAATAATGGATGGAGCTCCAGAGGAATTCTGGGTATTTCATCTGATGGCGTGTAAAACAGCGCAGGAATTAATTGATATCCCGTCAAATAAATTCCATTTCCTCGCGCGATAGGAATGCAAAAATAAAATAAAAATAAAATAAATCCCGCGAGAATCTTTCCCATATATACATATACTCTTTATTGTAGATCGAATTGAGCGGATTTGCGAAATTTCATTGTCATATCCCAACGCCAAAATTTTACTTGGCATTGTTATGCAGCAGTCGCGCGACGTTGAGCCAATTTCATGCCCCAAGGGGACGACGATGAGGAATAAAAAAAAAATATATATATATATTTATTCAGAAAAGCGTTGGCACAATTTTCGCGCAAGTGCTGATGCAATTTTCACTGTGCTCGTCACGCGGTTGACAGAATGGAAATGTTTCAAGTTCGCATCACGATTTTTTTTGCGTAGATGTATATATATATATATTTTAACAGGCAGGGAAAATTCCTTGTAAAGGGAAATAACTGGGAGAGAAAAAGCTATTATATGGACACTGATCCAATTGTGCTGATGAATGAGGACTCTTGTGTCAGCTCGGTTGCACACTCATCTGGACTGTGCTGAAATATAAGCGGTTTTTTTTAGGGGGGTTCAATAGCTCTATATACTGGGTTCAGTTATTCTCCCTTTCAGAATAATATAAAATAATATTATATATATATATCTTTTTTTTTCAATGTTCCCCTCAGCAGAGAAGAAGAAAATAGGGATGTGGTTTAGTACTGATCTGATTTGGGTTGTGGAAACCTCATTGAGGATAATCTCTTCAAAATCCCTTCCTCAAGAAGCTCTGGTCGTCACTCAACCGGAATTAGTAAATAACAGGCTTTCTGTGAGAGCTATGTAGTATACATACATACAGGGTGGAACAAAAAATAATGAACCAATTTTTGACTTGAAAAATAGCTCAGTAGCAAATTGGGCTGTGGCAATGAAAAGAAAAAAACCGATTTGAAGCTTGTTCAATTATCTTACAAATGGTAGAAAGTTTTATGGTCCCATGTACCACAGAATGGTCACAAGATCCATTTGAATGAAAACTTTGAAAAAAGGGTGTCAGGCAACTTTTTTTTTAAGTTTTCATTCAAATGGTGAATGGAAACAATTTATTCACTTTTACTCACTCAATGGTGAAATCCATTCTTTTAGTAGAGAAACACATTTTATTTATTATATTTTTTGGGGGATTTATATCTAATTTTTGATGAAGTGGAGAACCATTTAAATGAGTTACTGTTGAAGTCTGTGGGTTAAATGAGATCTGACATGTGGAAATTTTGACTCATATAGGGACAAGGTCCCAACACCAACCATTCATTTCCATTTTTTTTCATTAAAATTTTTATTTTGTGATACATGGGACCATACAACTTTATACCATTTGAAAGATAATTGAACAAGCTTTCATTTGGTGTTTTGTTCATTATTGCCACAGCTCAATTTGCTTCTGAGCTATTTCAAGTCAAAATTTGTTTTTCTTTTTTATTGGCCTACCTTGCATGTGCAGAATCCTGCCTTTCATATTCTTTTTTTTCTTTCCCCTTCTGCGAATTGCCTGGTTGCACAGGGAAAAGATTTGCAGTGCTGATGGCGAGGAGAGCGATTTTATTTTTGCAAAATGGGATTATGGGCATACAAGGAAGAGGAAAGAACCAGTGATGCTGGTGTTTTTATAGAATTGTATTTTTTTTTTAGTTGAAAACCTGATTTTTGTATGTTTTATTTCACCAATAAAAATTTCACCAATAAGTCAAATCGTCTGTTATGCTATTGGGGTGTCTGTATTTGGGGTCTCACTGTACAGTATTACTTTTATGATATAAATAGGTATGTTGAATGCTGATGAAGAGAGAAAGCGGAAGAATAAATCGTACTTGAAACACAATTTTGATTCTGTTTCATTCTTTCTTTCAATTCAAATCGAAAAATTTGTTTCAAGAAGAATATACCACACTAAAATAAGGTTGCTTATTAAAATTACTGTACAAGCATTTTCAGAAACTCCGTCCCAAACTTTTGAGATTGAATTTTATATGGAAAATTAGCAGTTGGAATCTATTTCGTGTAATAAGCTAAATCACATTTCCGTGAGTTTTTTTCAGTTCTTTTTACGAAACTCTTGCTGAAATGAATAGAAGTTCAAATTTGAAGAGGGAAATAAGCCAATGAATAAATAATCCACAAAGACAAAATTTTGATCACATTTCATCACATTTTTCAAGAAAATTTGCAGCATATCATTTGAATGTAATATTTAAAAGAAGAATGTAACCCCCATCTTGGTGGATTTTTCATTTCAAAACATGGTTTTAAACCTTTTGCTTTTATCAATTTACATGAGTATTCTCTATCATCTGCGCACAAAACATCAAGCTTTTTTTTCTGTGCCTTTTGCCTTTTTGATGCCAGAATAGAGTAGATATTTTGTGCAGTTTTCTTCTACACAGTTATGTTCTGTATCTCTTAATTGAGAAACACATTTTATTAGATTTTTTGGGGGATTCATTTCTAATTTTTGATGAACTGGAGAACCAATTAAATGAGTTGCTATTGAAGTCAAAGGGAAAATTAAATTAACATACAAACACTTCAACATGGGGACAAGGTTCCAACACCAATCATGTCCACATCTTGGGACAACTATATTTTAATTTAAACATAAATTTAAAAAAATATTTCACTCTTACATGTTTCCAGCCATATTTTTAAAGATCATTTTGAAATTCTTTGCTTCACCTTTGAAGAACCCTTCATTGATTTTAAAACTAATTTTGCAGGACAAAAAAAAAGAGTAGCAGAGAATGATGACTATACAGTCAACCCCCGTCTAACGGACTTGATTTGTGCAAGGGACGAGTCTGTTGGACAAAAAGTCCTTTACACGAATTCAATTACATTAAAAATTAAAAATTTCAATTTTCAACATCTATTCATTTCAGCAAGAGTTTCGTAAAAAGAACTGAAAAAAACTCACGGAAATGTGATTTAGCTTATTACACGAAATAGATTCCAACTGCTAATTTTCCATATAAAATTCAATCTCAAAAGTTTGGCAGATTTTGTCTGTTGGGCAGGAGGAAAAACTGCTTGCAAAGCTGGTCTGTGTGGCAAAAATCCCTTACACAGGAGGTCTGTTAGGCGGGGGGCCACTGTATATGATGCTTTCAACACAGTGATTTATGAACATGTCTGTCAAAAGTATAAGAAATAATATTTTTCAAGAACATTAATTCCTGCGAAAAAATTCTGATTTTTATCATATCACGTTAACCATCTCATTGGAATGCTGAGGATGACTGAAAAAAAAATAAGTTGTCGTGTTTTCTTTCACCTTTAAGAAGCAGCTCTTTAATTGATTTGAAAACCCTTTTCCTTCTAAAAAAAAATAAATAAATCCACAAAAAAAGGGGGTGACGGAGAATAATCATCATGATGATGCCTTCAGCAATGATTTATTCATACACCGACTTTGCCTTCATACCTTTTACAACGAACAAAAAGGTCCTCTCTCATCTACAGCCTTTGCATATCACAAATAAATAAGACGGAAAAAACTTGTTGACATCTTCGGCTTCGGGTAAAGGGGCACACAAAAAAAATAAAGGTTCACCTGAATAACTTTGAAAAGAAATTCCCAGCAAAGGGCGAAAAGTTGGAGACACCGAAGAGGATGAGAAAAATGAAAAGGGGGCTTGAAATCAGCGGGTGATGTGCAAAAAAAAAAACTTCTTCGTCTTCTTCTTCGGCTCACTTATTATTGAAGAGATGAAGTTGTTTCGTGTCAAGGTTGAGTGGGTCGTCCTTTTTCACGGTGTTTCCTTTGTTCGGAATCCATCGGCATGATACAAAAAAAATGCGAGTCAAGAGGGATTTCAAGAAGCCGAATGTTTGCTTCTCAATTTTGGTTTTTTATTTTTTTTGCACACAAGAGAACTCAAAGGGTTTTTTCGAAAGAGAGACAGAAACATGCCTTTTCTTTTCAGTCCCGGGGTTTCGATTCATCTTGATCATTACATACACGTTTTTTTTCTTGCCATTGTCTGCAAAAAAATGTGCACTCACCTTTATTTTTTGCACGAATGAAAAATGCAGCCAAACAACCCCGAAACTTTTATTTTTCTATCGGCCACGTGTTTATGTATAGAACCTTTCAAGCTCTCTTCGGTCAGATTTTTTCATGCTACAGGTATTTTGATATTGAAAATCCAGAAATTTGTGAATTGCTGTCAGTCAAAGGATTTTCTTGTTTGGAAACCTGCTCTTGAATGAACAGGAATTGGAATATAAATTTAATACTGTATTTCAAAATTTTTTTTTGTGACACTTATTTGCATTAGCACTAGTCAGAAAAGAGGTTAAGCTTGAATCAATCCCTGTCAGAAAATTGTGTTGATCTGCTACATTATGTTTTGTTGCACTTCAAGTTCTACCAAGAATATTACAATTTAAAAATTAGTTGATGTTGTTAATGCAATGAGAAAGTTTTATGATCTTGAATTTTTAAATATCCCATATAAAAACATAGTTTTTAAGATTTTTGACCAATAAATGTAGTAACCAAACTAAAATTTAAAAAAACAAAAATTTTGAATTATTTGATACAGTGTGCAGTATAATATTCAATAGCTACAAGACAATTGATCATTTTTACAACTTTCATTTTCTCACTGATGAAGGTTTCAAGAGGGGAAAAATACCTCTGATCAAAGGCACAAGGGAAATGAAATTAATTGCATTTTTCCTCCACTCCATCTCTTATAATTTCTTCCCACCACCACAAAGATCAGTTCAGGGCAATGAACATTAATAAGAAATTCAGTTCCTATTTCCTTCCCCCTCACATCCAGCAATTTGCTGGGGTTGTCAAAGGTACTCAATCAATTTCTCTTTTTCATTGTTTCCCAGGTGAGGTGTTTTTCTGCCAGGGATGAGAACAATCTGCTGTTCTGTTTTTCTGCAGAGGGGGATTGCATTCATCAATTTAGTACAGAAGCAAGAAAGACAGGTCTGAAATCCATCTTCCATTCAGGGACACCCTATTCCATTTTGCGCAGGAGTGGAATAAACTGCAGAAAAAGGACCATCAGGAGGTTGCCATTTTAATTGGAACACACAACTCCTCAGTAATTCTCTTTTTTTTTTCAAGAATGGAATCCAAAAAATGGACCAGGAAATGAGTGTTTTGGAAATGGGGGTGCTCTGATGATGACTCAAGATGGTACCATGGTTCTTTCTGTGGACAAGCCATACTCCACCACCCACATGGATAAGCAGTAGCCAGCAAGGAAGAGAATCAGGTACTTGGTGGCACCCAGGATCCACCATTCACCTCCTCCACCTTGGTCTCCATCAGAGTGCAAACTCAGACAGACTTGGCGCCAGTCATGGAACCTGTCAAAGAATGTCCATCAACAATAATACTTATGTCTGCTATAATGGATACATATACAGGTTTTCCCAGAATAATATATGACTCATGACTGCTGTACAATGATCACCTGCATTAGAGCATGGTGCAAATAGATGCTACAATAATGGTAACATTTAAAATACAGCAAGACCCCAAAATACCAAAACCCCAAGATACAGACAACTCAACTTGGACATGTGAAACAATTAAAAATCCAACCCAACATCAAAACAAAATCTCAACATACAGACACTTTTCCAACATTTCAGGGGAAATGTAACATTTTTATTTTTACAAATTTCATTATCTCTCAAACAAATTGAGTTATTTATGTTCATAGTATTCAAAAATGAATTTTATTAAAAATTTGTTTATTTTCAAAAAAGGTTAGTTTTGTGATTCTGTCTTTTAGTATTCCCCATCATCTGTACACAGTATTGCATTGAAGTACTTTTTATTTGCTCTTTGCCCTTCTGATGTCCGAATAGATCAGAGTTTAAGTGGTTTTCCTCTGCAAATAGATCCGATTTTAAGGGTTTTTCCTTTACACTCTTCCATCATCAGTACAGTATAGTTTTATATCATTAGCATGTGCTTTTTACGATACTTTCCTGTTATCTCAGTACCTCCAAAATCAGTTTCTGGGTAAATCAGTTTCTGAGCGGTTAGGTCTGGTTATGTTAGTTACAAATATCTTTCAATTAACATAACCTGACCTAACTTAGGTCAGGTTATGTTAGTTAAGAATATCTTTCAATTAACATAACCTGACCTAACCTAACTTCACCTAACTGCCTCCCAAAATCAGTTTCAGAAAAAACCCAAAGAAAGCAGAAACTGATTTTGGGAGGTGAAGTTAGGTTAGGTCAGGTTATGTAAATTGAAAGATATTCTTAACTAACATAACCTGACCTAATTTAACTTTACCTAACCACCTCCCAAAATCAGTTACAGCAGAATGCGGAAAAATGAAATTCACAGTTTCTGGTAGGTGCATGGAAAGTAGATACTGAGATAACAGGAAAGTACCCTTATTCTTTGTCTACGTTGAAGAACCCTAAGAATTAAGGTGGAAGCTGGGGAAGTGTTTGTGGAAGGGAATTGGACAAACCCAACTGTGGGTCCATTGGGCAGAGCCAAACAAGCTGAGCAGTGCTGCCACCAGCTTGGGTCTTTACATCCAACAACAACAGGCTCATCAGTAGAAGGACATGGTTCTAATGCACCAATATCTGATGTTGGCAATGCTGATGGTGCTGGTGTTTGAGCACACAATAACTTGGCAATCATGGCAGCATCATCAGCAGTCAGAGCTGTTTCTACATAGTCTGCAAAAGGGTCCTGGGAAGAGGAACATGTTGATGAAGGGAGTTCATCTGCAATGTGCTGGTGATTGCCAATCAAGGCATGAATGCGCTGGTTGAACTCAGCTGACTTGGTGACCAGTGCCCTGGTGGAATGTTGTTGGACTCCATCACCATCAGGTTTGACAGACATGCTGCCTTCTACACCTGCAACAGTATATATTATTCCCAAATTGGTTTGAAAATACAGTACAAGACTAATGGCACTGGAATATGTATATGATGTCTGCCTCCAACAGTTCTCCATTTTCTTCTGGTTCTCTGTTTAGAATAGAAAAGTTCTTCTCTGCGGTTTCATATTATGCTTCAATTTTCACAAAAGGGGATTTTGCCCCTATGATTTCAGTCAACACACACTGAAGTTGCTCAAAGTAAAGTTGATAAGATCCTTGTGGCTTTAGATGATTGCAGCTCAATAAAGGAGCCATTACCATCAGCAAAGTCATAACCAGACCATGTAGTTGCTGAAGCTGATCTGACAATGCTGGAACCAGCAGCAATTCTTGGCAAAATTGCATCATCACTGCTGTTGTATCTCTCTTTCATGTCCATGCTTAAACTTGCGATTGATTCTGTGTAATGGGAGCCAGTCAAGCTTTTCCTTGAAAAAATCAAGAAAGCATGCATATAAAAAGAGTTGTCATTTGTTTTCTGTCCAATATAAAGCCCACATCTTGTCCCTCAGAAGGGAGAACTTGTTCTGTAGGGTTTTGAGAACAGTGAGCGACATCTGCACTGAATGGTGAAGATTACTCTTCTCCTGGCCACTCAGAGGGTATGTTCCATTTGCTGTGCTTCTCACACTGAAGCACAACTGGGTTTCACTTCTCAATTTGCTGATAGTTTTCAATCCATCATGCATCCACTCTTGTTCTTCACTGATGACACCATTTGGAAGTTGTGAGCTCATCTGAAAAATACTTTGTTGATCATTTGCATGGAAAATGCATGAAAAAATGCCACCCAGGGAGGATTTTTTTGTGCAAAATTTTCTGCAAGATCATCAAAAAATCTTGGGACTCTTTTTCAACTTATTAGACCTTGGCCCAAAATATTTAAGCACAACATCATTTTACAAAAATACATCAACTGTGCCTCACAAGGGTTAAAATCAAATATAATGCACAACTCAACTTCTAAAACCTTTTTAAATTCATACTTGCTTATGATGCACACATAATTTTTTCCTTAGAACTTTTAGAAAATATGTGGATGCAGGACTTGAGTAAATACAGTATACACAGAGGAGCACTATAAAAGCTACTTAACATTCAAATAGAGCAGTAAGCTCAAATTAAAATGTCACATAATACTTGTGCTGTGCCATCATGCATTTTTGATTTCACAAAAAGTGCTCTCAACTTGTTGAAAATGACTCATATTGAACTCACATCAATACAATCCATGACTATGGATTCAACTCTGGCAATGGCATCAAAAAATTCCTCTTCCCTGACATCAATGTGTTCTGCAAGGGAGCCATTTGCTGCTTCCAACATGGCTGCAGATGAGCTCTGTGACTTGCTCAGTGCAACTCTGGCTTCCATCATCTTCCTCAGGGACACTATCTGGTCTAGTCTGTCTCTCAAGTCTGACACCTATGTATATGTAAATACAAAATAAATCCCTCTCAAAGCGTTAAAAACTTTTCAAAAATAAAAAGTGGCAGAAGAACCTGGTTTGAAACACTTGGACCGGAAAAGTGTGGCACCTGCTTCAACTGTTGATCCATGATGCGAATGTAAGGAACATGATTCGGTGAAAATGTTGCTCCAGCTTTTGCACGTTCCATGCTACATGAAAAAAAAAACATATATTGTATATATATAAATTACCTTGAATAGCTCAATTCAATTTCTCTCACCTTCGTACATCCAATATGTTGACTGTTTCCTAATAAAATCGTTAATGATAAGCAAAACTGGCGAGAAAACCTGTTGCAAAAAAAATAGTTGGAAGAGAACTCCAAAGAGTTGGTGATGAATAGGGGTCGGAATTTAGGCTAACATCACTTTCAGTGAAGCTGTCACTGATTTCGTTTCAGGCGCGAAAACTTTTACAGTGCCCAGTAAATTAATGTTTTGTCGCGTCCAATCCATTCCTCACACAACCTTCAAAATTATCATTTATCGTCAGAGGAACGAAAGCAGAAGAAATTCGCACTGAAGTTGTATTTCAATTTCTGAGTCCATGCGAGTACAACACCACATTTGTTTTCCGACTTGGGCGCTAAGATTCGATTTTGCGACGACTGGTACCTCAAATCTAAAAAGGTTCATATTCGCGGATATTTTCACACTCGATTCCTCATCCCCTATATAGAAAAAAAAAATCTGAATCACATTTGAATATGCAAACGAGGTTATCTCTCTTTTCTCTTTTCGTTACCTATACAAGTGTTTCCATTTACAGTCCATTATACAAACACGAGACAATTTTTTTTTTATGCTGAAGTAAAAAGACTAGGGCAAGGAGGAATGTTAGAACATCGTCGCAATCCCGACAGTCAAACACAATTCCTCATGCATTAGCAATCAAAAAAAGGCATTTCGATTCTGCCTTTTCTTTACATGCTGAAATTAAAGCGAAAACTTTCCAAAAGATCCACCGAACGACCGGGATTTTCCGCAAAAGACTCGTTCCTCTTCTGAAAAAGGTTCAATGCTAGCGCTGCTTTTTTTTTTTTTTTTTTTTTTTTCGGCAACCGGAGAATTTCTCTTTTCTCAACACCCTTTTTGTTCAATGCTTCCGAGAAACATTCCAAACCACTGACCCAGTTTTCCTGTTGCATTCCCCAAAACTCAAAATCGTTTCAGATCACTCACGACATTCACAGGTTCAAGCTCACAAAAAAAAACACTCCGTAAGAAAACGAGACTTTGGTAACAATTCGACCAAACATTTTTCCTACCACGAATTCGTAAACTTCAAACGAGGATTCAGAAGCGTGAAAAGAAAGAGAGATGTATAAAAAAAATTCCAAACATGTCGCAGAAGTTGATTTTGCAGATACCAAACGCTCAAAGCTGTGTTTCAGGTGGGTGTTGTCCGTTTAAAATCACTACTGGAATCGACGTTCTCGCAATGCTTCTTCCATCGCCTGCAAAAAAAGGAGTGCACATGTAAAAAGGGATGAAAACAAAAAATTTTTAAATGTCTTCCCCCCCGCTTTGACGCCCATAAATGAACCAATTTTGAAATTTTTACGATTTTCGACTCGGGCAACAAAAATGAAACCGATGCAAAAAAAGTCTTGCCAATCGCTGTCACAAAATTGACGGTCAGCAGTTATAAAGACTCGTAAATGACATTCATAATTTTCGCATACCGAAGTGCAGTTTCGAATTAACGGGGGCCTTTTTAAAATTACAAACGGCAATGAATGCCCCGAACAATGAATTTATTGCATAAAAAAAAAATTTGCTTTGTACCACCGACTTTTGCTTCGGATAGTAGACCAGCATAAAATTCATGGTTTTTCACCAAATATAATTTGCTGAGGGATCAGTGATCCAAAGTGTCATTTTTCAAGTGGATCAATACACTGATCGTCTCGAGAAATGTATTCCTCGTTTCTCATTGATTGACCCTCAATGTAATAAGTTATTCAAGAAATTACACAGCAACTTCAACAAGGAATCTTCAACACGTGCAATATTTCATTCGTGAACCGCGGCGATGAGAGACACAACTTTGCAACAACAACAAAAATCGAATTTCCGCCGCCGTCGTAAATTCAAAAATGCTTCTACAGTACTATATACTGTGACAAACACTGCATCAACTCACAAGGACTTTGCGGCGCAAGTTGCGGAGATGCAGCATCCAGGATCTTGATGCCCCGAACCCGGGCTTCGTAGTAGGCCTTGAACACCGAGAAGCCCATGAAGCGAAGACAGACATAGTAGACGATCGCTGCAAAGCCAGTGACGGAGAGCTTGATCCAGGTCGTGGCCTCGGGCAGTTGAAAGGCGGCCCAAGTGCCGGCCGACGCCGAGACCATGGCCACGACCATGCCGGCCTTCTGCGCCCAGTGGCGCCCGTCGCAGCCGCCACCAACCAGCACGCTCCCGCTGCGCAACAGCAACTGGTGGGCCCCAGGCGCCTGCACTTCCACTTGGTACGCAGCTCCGCACACTCGGCAACACAACTGCTGCTCCTCCAAGTTCACGGCTCCAGCCAACTGAGGACACAGTAGAACAAAAATATTGAACATCGACGCGTCATCAACACATCAGAAAGTGTCGTGATTTCCGTGGGCACTTTGAAAAACGTTCTTTAAATGCAATTACTGTATCAACTTGAATTATCTCTCATGAAGACGAATTGAAGCATTCTATGGAATGAAATTTCCGAAAGTTTTTCCTCGTTCGTCATTTGAATTTTCTTTTTTTTTATAGCAAAATAATGATGATTTAGAGACGAAACAGGATTTGGTTTGAATAAGGTCTCGCAGGGAAATGAATAAAGGTCATCAACACTAAAATAAACATGGACAGACAAGGAATTCAGAAATTCACTAGTGGGCATTTTGTAATTGAATGAAAAGTAACTTTTGGAAATTACAAGTGGATACACTGTCTTTCTCTCCACAAAAATATGGTTCCATATGTTTCTCCTTACATGTTTTAAAACAGTATTACCCAAACTTGTTGTGCCCATAGTCTGGCAAATTTCCAAAACATTTTCTTCGGACTGGCAAATTTTCATAAATTATTTGGAGACTCCAAAAAGGTTTAGTATGAAAGACTTTACGGCAGGTATTTAAAAAGTTTCTGCTCTTTTGCAAAAATTTAGTCAAGAACCAATGAAGCAAATGTTTTCAAAGAATTGGAAAGGTGGTCTTGAAAAAAGGTGTCTCCGAATGAAAAATTAAAATAATTTATTTTAGCTGGTGAAAATTTGTCTACAGTGTTATTACGGGAAAAGCCAAATTTCATTTTTCATGCGATAATTTCAGCTACCATTGTCTGTCTAGCATTTAATACAAATAAGGTAACTGCATTGCTACTCTTGATGAATTTCTCATGAAGAAAATTTCCCGCAATCTGATGGCCTAGACTAAGAGAAATAAATACGCAATGTTCTCTAAATATTCGTCACCAAATTTTTTTTAACACATACTTGAAGCAATACTTTTCAGTTTCCAAACATCCAATAAGTTGCTCTCACTCTCTCTCTCACGCCCACATCTTTAGAGTGAGATTAACCAGATTGCACAAAATTTTGAAAAATTCCCCCAATGAGACCTTCTTCAGGCCTCTCTCTCTCACCTCCACCAGCCACCGCTTGAGACAGTCGTGGTGCACAGCTCCGACCCCACCGCGACAATTGCAGGGATGTATAAGCGGGCCAGCGTCGGCATCGTAGCAAATCCAACACTCGACCTCACCGTCACTTCGATCCGCCTTGGCCACCTCCGAGTCCTTGCTGCCGGCAGTGGGCCCATTGACTTCATCTTCCCAACCGGCGAAAACGTCGGAGTCGAACGAAGCTCCGTTTCGACAAATGCTTCTGGCGTTGAAGCGCGTCGGATTCGGGACGAATTTGATGATCTTCTTCGGATTCAGAATCCACAACTCGTCCGGCCTGAAATGCAACAATAAAAGAAAAAAGACTCGTTGAACCTCAATCACTCGAATCTGCATAGGTCGAATTTTTTCCGAGTACCTGTTGAGAAATAATACACTAAAAAAGCCACGGGATGGAAAATACTCGAAACAAATCTGAAATTGATCTTAGCTACTGTAATCTAGCTCAATTGGACTTCAACCTTGCAGATTTCTACTACAGTAAATCAGTTATTTTACCTCTAAGAAATCAAGAGTTGAGTGATTCTGGCACTAGCAACATCTATAAACATCCCCTGAACTTACGTTACAAACGCAGTGCATAGATGTCGCTTGTCCTTGCTTCCATTAGAATGAAATACAGATCAACTTTAATAACTACAAGCTGGGGGTGCCCAGCCACACCTGGGCATCATGTTCTGAATTTCATGGAGAATTGAAAAATTCTATCATTTGCTAGCTAATCAATATATCAGGGTGGTGCCCTCAAAATGAAGGGGAAACGATTCTAATTCCCCCGCCTCTATTCCCCCTGCTCTAAAATCCCCGATCCTAAAATCCCCGCCGTTTATTCCCCCCGGTGTCTAATTGCCCCAAAATAAAAATCCCCATTTACTAAAATCCCCAAATATACAAAATATCACCGAAAATGCAAAAATTCGGCCGAAATTGGATTATTTTCGTATGCTATGGTGTTTTAATTTCTACCCAGAGGTGAGCAGAAGAAGAGGGATGCCAACCTGAAGAATCTGTGTCAATGGTTCAACAGGCACAAAATTAGTCTGGAAAATTTTTTGAAGGAAACAGCTAAAGCAGTGAAACTGAGATAACCTCCCCATGTCAAAAAGTTTTTCAAGTCCCTACCAGAAGCCCCTTCCCTTGGAAACCATGTATTAAAAGCCTCCATAACTCAAAGGACTTTCCTGTCAAACCTAAATGCCTGAAATTTTCTCAAGGCCTTTTGGCTATTATGTCATTGGTTCAAGAAAGAGAAAAGCAATAAAAAATGTAACTTGACGTGCTTTGAAAGAAAATGAAACACTAATGGGCAAAAATTCCTTGCCTCTCCAAGTTCAGCATCATTTCAACTCATTTAAAAAGCAATTTAAGACCCAGAATACAGCTAAAAAGTTATTAAAAATTAAAAGTAAGTAATTACAAGTTTTTGTAATTACTGCATCTTTTCTTTCCCCTCAACACGAGTTTTTTTCGCTGGTCCCTTGAAATTCGAATTTAAAGAGGTTCCAATGCATAAATGACGTGACATTGTACCTGATGCAATTCCAAAGCACGCAAGGGAACCACAAAGCAGCGGCCAACTCCAGCAGGCGAAAAACCACCGCGTGCCAATTTCTGCTCACGACTGGGACCCTGCAACGATTCAGACGACGACCGTAGAATGCTGATACCAATCAACACTTCCTTTTTTCCTCTTCTTCACGAAAAACTCACTTGTCTTTCCAAAAGTCCCCGAGGATGTCAGACAGCAAGAAACAGACCGTGGCCAGCAAAATCACAGCCTGAAACACCAGGCCAAAGCGACTCTGCTGAAGTTGGTTCGAGTCCAAACTGAGCTTCACCAGGGGCACCTTGTTCATCTCTTCCAACGCAGTTTGAACCGCCTGCAAAACAATTTTCACGCATCAAACCACAATATTTTTTCGGTTTTCAATCAACACTCACCGGAATTGGAGTAACGGGAAGTTCGATGAAAGACGGAGACGCAACGGCAGCCGTCTCCGTCGTCGATTTCAGCTCAGACAATTCCTCGGGATTCGCAGCCGTTTCATCAGCTTCCGAATGCTTCTTCTTCTTCCTCATGAGAACCCTCGACGACTGCTTCCGATTCAGTCTTGCTGCTCTGGTGTGCCTCAGAAATCCCCCTCTCACCTGCAAAAAAAAAAAAAATAATGAAAAGATAATTTCAATTTTTCCTCCAGTATTTCTCATCATTATATGTTCATAAACAATAAAAAACTCACTTTAAAGTAGACTTCGACGCCGTAGATGAGAAAGAAGATGACCACGATGAACATGAGCACAGCGTAGCCGCTGTTGAAAATCTGCACCAAGTACAATTGCGTGGCTTCATCAGGCGTCATGTGCAACACCACCACTTCCACCAGCAACAAGGTGTACGTGATGCCATTGAAAGCCAGGAATCCCATGGTGGACTTGCCGAGAAACCTCGGTCTTTCGCACCTCATTCCAGGCAGATGGAACACCTTATTTAACGGATGAAACACATGACATCAACATCTTTTGATACTCGTATAAAAAAAAAGAACAGTCTCACCTCCGCCCAAAAGCACACAATCAGAGACGAACCAGTCAGTAGGACAGCGTAATACGCACCAAGCAGAGAAGAAGCCCAGCAACTTGACGCTGTATCCTGAAAAAATAAATGCAACGCACGATAAACAACTGATTCTTCCACCTTTCCACTTCCGTCTTCGAAGGAAAAGCTGAACGAGAAAAACACTAAGAAAAATACTGTAGAAGCAGGCGACACCTTCCCGACGTTTCGGAAACTAACCTGCGCAGAAAAGTAAGCAGCCCTGAGGGCAGAAGCGAGGAAGATGATGAAGTAGAGAGATTTTTGCACTGTGGGCCGGAAAACGATCCGAAATGACGGCGCCTTCATGCGTTGGAACTCGGCCCAAGTGTAAACCAGTAGCTGACCCATGGATACAGCACACATGACGTAGAAGATGGACGCGAAGGCGATAAAGTAGTTCCTGTTGGGCTCCTGACAAGCATCTCCACCAAATTCCACCTGAAAAAAAAATAAAATGTCACGTTCTTTCTCAATTGAAGACTGCCTCGAGTTATACTGTGTGTCCCCACATAACGAAAGCCAAGATATCCGAATGAAGAAAAATTTTAGGGGGAAGAACATGACACACATTACAAAGTTATTTCCCATACCGACATTTCTGGGCCTAAAAAACGCGCCAACTTAATGGCTTTTGAACAGTAAGCTGATAGTTTTTCAAAAATAAAGAGAAAAGTGAAAATAGAATCAAATTTTTACAAATCCTTATCCATGAGGATTTGTGAGAATAACTTGACTTTCAAGCAGAAAATATTAGATAAAAAAATTTCTTGAAAATACATAAATTTCATGATTTATCATCATATAACGGTCTTTTGGTGAGGATCTGGAAAAAGTTGAATAAATACAGACAATTAAATTGAATAAAACATGGAATACATTTTATTTTTTCGGGATACAGGGAGTCAAGTTTCTGTGCTTCTTCTCTGCTTGGTGCTCATTTATCTGTCCTATGATGTAATCTCTAGAGAAAACGCGTTTCAAAAAACGGAACTCTTCCAGGGTCATATTAGTTTCGTTATGCGGTGGTATGTCTGCTCATGAAAAGTAGGTCAGAATTAAACTCCCTCCAAAAAGAAGGAAAACATTGTTCAACGCAATCAAGAAAAAGGCTTTTCTCCTCTGTAGGGAATAGATTTTCCCCCACTTCCATTCAGCTTTTCAACACTGAAACTTTTCCAAGGATGTCAGGAATAAATTAGCAATGTCAAATTACTCAATTAACAGAATCAACATAGAAACAAATTACTTTACTGCATTTACTCAAGTACCACATGCCCTCCAGTGAGACATAAATCCTATTTTTCCCCCTAAATTGTTGATGAAATCTTATCCTGAGGTAAGACACGCACCCCATTTCTAGTGATTAAAAAACTACAATATTTCAAAAATAAGAGACACCAACATTCAAATTTTGAACAAGAATTCAATTAGTTTTCAATTCCTTTGATTTTTAAAAGAAATGTTTCTTTCAAGAATTTCCATGTTACACATGGACTCAATCCAAAAAATATTCCAGGAACCAGAAACAAATTGGTTGTTGAGAGAATCTTTTCGCAGAAAACCCCTATAACAAGAGGAGAGGACCCTATGGGGCCATACAAGAATTGTTTCAAAGAGAAAATTGTTGTAGACAACATCGTTGTAGAGAATGAGAGTCCACCTGTATTTGGAAGGTTGTGCACACCTTAACTTTTAACAATTTCTTTAAAATTGTATCCCACTCTCCATTATTCTCTCTAAATTTTGAGAAAACAGGTGCATGTGGTACTCAAGTAAATACAGTAAACACAATAACCAAGACACACAGTAGAATCAAGCGGTTTTTTTTTCCTCCCTGTAAAACTGAGGTTGATATACTCACTTCACAGAAGCACACACCATCCAGGCAGTCCCCACGACCAGAACAGTTCCCTTGGCAGACACTCATTCTCAGGAATGACATGAGACCACCGCCACCTCCACCACCCCTGCCACCATTCGACAGCCTCAATGACCCAAGACTGGGTCCAGCCAGTTGGACCGGCATTCTGCAGCAGAATTCACTTCACTTTGCTCAACCTGCCCAACCCTCATGTCCTTCCCGATATACACACCTCATACTCCCCGCTTCACACCGCACTTTTTTTTTGCTTCTGTCACAAACAAAAATTGAGCACATTCATCAAATTTCCACATCGCTTCGCAAGATTTTCGCAAAAAATAATACACGAAATAGAAAATCCATGACTCGCCAGAAAACGCTTATGCAACTTTTCCTCGTACACAGAGTACTGCATCTCAATATTTCTTCAAAAGCAGGATTTCTGGCGAACACATAAAATTCACATTTGGCAAACCAACCGTGCTCTTCCCTTCCCTTTGTCAGCGCCAATCCAGCAGAATTTGACCAGACCTCCAAAGGAAATGAAAAGAGATGCACGCGGAAATTTGCCAGCAAAAATGAATAAGTACGACACCGAGGAATATCCTTGGCAGCAAATAGCTATATGAAATATGTCCAGGAGTAAAAAGCAACTCTCGAATTCAAGCTGTCGACTATTTCCCTCCAAAGCAAGCTTCGCAGCTGAAACATTTCCAACACAATACACTGCGGGGAATAAAACCTCGAATCCATAAATTAGTGCAATACATGGCGAAATCACCAGGAAGATTCCACTGAACATCTTTGTCCAAATGTGCATGCAAAAAAAAAAAATTCGGCGGGGCATTTTAAATTGGAGCCATTTCAAGCAAAATTAACAATGACATCCGTGATAACATTAAACCACGCGTGTAATTTACTTGAATCTATGCTACATTTTCAAGGGACCAGTGAAATCTTCCAAGTGACTTCGCCAACAAACAAGTATTCAAGCAGCTTTTGTTTCGTAGCACAACAAGCAGTCCAATCCGAAGTACTGTATTCCTCAAGCTGCCACACGGTGGGAGTACCAAAGATATTGTGGAGAGAATGCATTGAGAAAAAGCCAGCAAGGGTTTTTTCTCCTCTCCAAACTTTTATTTCAATTACAAATCAGTCTTCACAAAACTTTGAATGGGAAAATAATTTTTCTCTTTTTATTCCTTCTTCATCTTAACATACTTTTTATCTAGGTTTGTACTCGTACACCAATTTTTTAAAAGCATTTGTATACTGTTTCCCATGCTCTCGTGAATTGTGTCATTTCTTTGCCATCAAATAATGCAATAAATTCTTCTGAAAAAAAAAAAAAAAAATTATGTCCCTTTGATTGTATGTTCCTGGACCAGATGATTACTTGTGTTTCATTTGTTCTATTCCCTTTGCCATATGTTCTTTTTTGGGTTCTGAGAATGCTCAACAAAAGTAAAACTTTTGTTCCATCCCTCACGAAGTGTAATAATTTCCTCTCATCAGCCAAACAAATGAAAATGGGAACAAACTGATGATTTTCTATTCATAACTTTTCCCCTTCTTCAGACTTGGACAGCTTCCTGAGCTACACTGGATTTCTCCCCGACTCGCATAAATACATTCAACACTCAAGGAGGAAAATACTACAGAATATAATCAATCGGGTCTGCAAGCTCGTCTAATCTTCGTCCTCCCCGACAGCATTCTTGAGACTGTCCCTGCGCTCTTGCAGAACTGACGGCGGGATGCGGAACTTGTCCCTCAAAACACCTCCCAAATAATTTCTCGCAGCTCTGCCGATCCTCTTGAGACGATCTGCAGCGAAATTCAGCGACCAGGAAGAAAAAAGGAAAAAAACAGCACCAGGGAAAAGGAAACAGAAAAAACACAGAGAAAGAGAAAAAATAGTACAAAAAAATTCAGTCACAACGCAGCAAAAAATTTTTTTCACGCGAAAAATATTTTCCCATGCATTTTTTTTTCAACTATACAAAAAAAGTTAGGGTTATTTCTAGCATTAGCAAAACGTAGGTCAAAATAGTCCTCTGCAAAATATTTTGCGCTCCGTGATGTCGAGAATATTTCAAGTACTAACGTGTTTCCCAAAACATTTCTGAGTTGTTAATTTGTTTTGACGATCCTCAACAATTAACTTTATTGGTTTCTCACTCTGAACAAAAAAATTTGTGAAATAACACATTTCATAAAGTAGTTCAAAATAGATAGGCTCTCGAGCATTTCCTGGGAGCCTAAATCCCACTTAAGACTTACTTTATCGACTTTGATGAAACACGGTAGTCAAAAGTAAACCTTGAAAACAGTACTCTTTATGCAGGAAAGATAACTTCGCAAGTCACGTGCAACGCAAAATAATTCCGCTGTATTAAATTACAAACAATAAACCAGATAGAACTCACATACGCCAGGACCCAGGACTGGAGACTCTCAGCAGACAGGCAAAGGGATGACAAACAAACAAAAAAAGCCATTCTTCCTTCAGTCACACCAGCATCACACAAGCGCAGGTTTTGGTATTTCTACGTCTTCAAGCCACAAACTAAAGCACTCTTCTGCTCTCACGCACACGAAAGGCAAGAAAAATCTTGGCTCCGCAGAAACCAAAGGAAAACCCGATTCTAATTTTTTCGCATCGATTCTTTTTTTTGGAATAAAATTCGGGGAATGGGAATTCGTTCTTCCTGGATTCTCTGGATCATTCCCTCCAGGCTCCGATACGTTTCAACCGAACTGCACGGAGAGAAACACACGACATTCAACAAATGTTAGTTTCAAAACTTTCACGATCACACGCATGCTTTTGTTAAAAATCACTCGCTACTCTCTAATTTGGCAAACATTCCGCGAGACCCTGTAAAAACAAATTAGAGTACACCTAACGAAAAAATTCGACATCAGTTTAACACAGAAAAGAAGGCCTCACTGGATACCTTACAGCCCCAAACGTTGCCTCAACTTGTGGAAAAACCTCACGCCGAAGCGTTTTTTCTTCCCGACGCGGACTGAAAAACACGTTTCGCGAACACTTTACACTAAGTCTTCCCAGGAAATTATAAAATAAAATTTCTAATCATAACAAGAACCCGCAATTCAGCAAGTCTGAAAAGCCACTCACACTTGTCGCAGTTCTTTTGCAGGTGTGCGGAAATCCGGTTTTGGGCATCGTTGTATTCCAAAAACAACCCGAGTCGCAGCAGTGTCGGATTCTTCTCCACCAGCTTCGTGATTTCACTCTCAATCTTGTTCCCCAAAACCGAAGGTTTCTAAAGACAAGCCACAATCGATGAGATGCACAAAATTGATATCGTGACATGTCAGCACGGGAGTAACACCATTGATGCCAGATTTTCGTGCAAGGAAAGCCTACAACTCACCTGATTCACGGCTCGGAACTCTTCAAGCGACTTCTGCACCAGCAGGGATTTGATGAGATCGCGAATAGCTGAAGGAGTGATGAAGTTGCTTTCCACGTTCAGTACTCGCAACGTTGAGTTCTTCTCAAGAGCGTCGCAAAGTTTCGACACTACGCGGTCTCGCAAATCCGTATTTGCCAAGGATAACGCCTCCAGCCGCGTATTCGTTTTCAACGCGTCGAACAATCGCACGAACTTCTCATCCGAAATGGTCTAGATGAAGAAAAACACTTATTCACTCCCTCTCTAAGGTAAACCAGATGAATTCTTGCCTTGATGTTGTTCAGATTCAGTTCTCTGAGGGAGGCGTCATCGATGGACACCCGACGGATCGAGTCCTCGACATCCGTCATATTTGGCGGTTCAAATTTCAAAGGTTTGTACTGCGTAGCTTTCGTGACGCCAGTCCAGCCCAGACCCACAGGTTGTCCTGAGTTCTGCTGCGATGCGTGATATTGGTCTTGATTCATCATTGAGTGGAACCCAAGTATGGCTATTCAAGGAGAAAATTGATGCGGTCATACATGCACTATACCATTAGTTCGAGACTTACCAGCTAGATCCACGAGTTCGTCGTCACCCGCATTGGCGAGGGCGGTTTCGAAGTCTTCCCCCAAATCAATCCTGACGTCTTCCTCCTGCTTAGATGGAGGCATGGATGGCGCAATCCATTTCTTGCCACGAACCGTCCCTGGATGATACGGTACGAGCTCAGGTACGTCGGGAGTTTCTAAAGCCTCTTTGTTGATGTGGTTTATTAGCTGCTTTCGGTTCAATGGTCCCGTCGGATTCTTATCACACATATAGCTGTGTCGTTGGCTCGGAGGGAGAAGCTGATCCTGAAGCACAGTACACAAGGAATGTTATGAGATATTCAATAACAACCGCCAACACATGACTTACATCTGGGTCTACTTCCTTGGCTAAAATATTAATTTCCTCCGGGGTGAGCTTGTCGAGGAGTTCATCGACATCTAAGTCATCGTAAGCACTTAAATCTTTGCCAAACAATTTTCTATTGGTGAACATTTTCAACTACGTTCGAATAATACCTGAAGAAATTAACAGAACACAGAAGGTTACGATCACCACAGCTAACAAATATGCAAAAGAATTCCACGACTTATTTCTGAATATAATGCAATGCCTACATCAGTGGTAGAGGCGGAACTACGAATTTTTCACTGAAAAGTATCCAGTCATCCGCGATTGATCACGCTTTCGCTGGAATCCCCCCTCCTCCATACGCACTCGGTTGCCAAGGCTTCAACGGGGCGGCCATCATTAACAGGGTGGGGAAGGAATGCACACTTGTGTTACTCAAAGAGCCTCTGCACGAGCGTATGGGTGCAACCATCAATTCAGTGTTTACACACCCTCGTGCCCTAGAACTGGGCCGTTGAACCTGAACACTTCCAGGACACGCCAGCACTCAAGGGTACCATTTCTCAAGTACTGTACATATTACTCACCCAAGTACAGTATAACCATTTCGAAGCCTCACCTGCCTTACTGAACTCCACAGTACTGCGGATTTGCCATGCATATCTATATGCTTGATCAGACCTCCCTGCTCCTGCTGCCCCCAATCCAGCACTGGTTATTGTGTTTTGGAAGAATACTGATCAACATTTCTCTTGAATTAATTGTTCAAAATATAATGCAATCTACTCTCCAAATTCCTTGTACAAGTAGACACTCTGCAACAAAATTCTGGGGATTACAAATACATATTCTGCAGAGAAATTTGTGGTAGAAAACCTCTGTCATACATGTGAAGAACAAAAAAATTTTTACATACACATAAAATACTTGTATAGAGTCTACCTGCACCAAGTGTTCCATGGAACCAGCATCAGGCTGTTAAACCACAAAAATAAATTGAAGGCAACAGTAATTTATGCTAAGTGAGTCATTTTATCAACTGTTTCCATCTCCTTCAAAGGAATCACATGATTTTCAATATCCAGTACTTCAAAAAGCTTCTTGCCACTGAAGTTGTAGTCCTTCTCCAAATAGTACAAAGCCAGTTGAAGCACATGATCATGGTTTTTCCACAGTAATTCAAATGGCTCCAACTCGGGTTTCAAAGGCAGCTGTTCCAGAATTCTGAAAACAAAAATATAAGCAATATTAGATAAAGGTCATCATGCAACATTGTAATCGCTGCAGAAATGACAAACCTCGCAACAGATTTGCGAGAATACAGGACTATTTGCAGAGCATTCATGATCTTCTCTCTTGTGAAACCTTCTGCTAGCAGGTAAGTAACGGTTCCTTTGACTTGCACCAAACTGGTCTGTTTCCAACAAGGATGCTTGTGCAACTCATCCCTCACAAAATCATTCTCAATTTCCAATAAAGTTGAGACCAAATGAGTCAAATCCTTTCCCCGCACTCTGGGCATCTTTGAGGACTCCATGAAACTTTCATACTTTTTCGTGGATGCGGCCAAGAGGTCCAAGCTGATGATGCCTCCAACATGCATGCTCTCAATGTGTGCCAATCTCGTCTGTTTTGAAAAAATAAAAAATAAATGACCATCACAAATTTTGACCAGAATCCACACTAAAAAACATTTTTACCTTGGCTTTATTTTGATACATCACAAGCCTCAAAACTCTGGGATGATCTTTCAACGCTTCAAAATGAGGAACCGTGTTCAATTGTTTCAGTCTTTCTCTGACAGTTTCAGGTGACAAAGTGTACACATCTGTCACACCTTGAACAGCATAAGGAGAAAAGTGACATTCCTTCAGCAGCAATTCATCAATTGCCACCAGATTCTCCACAGGACACAGCAACAACTTGGGCACCTTCCTTATAACCTCTTTGGTAGGATTTGCGCCTATAGTTTCCAGTTGGGCAATCCTGCGCATGTTTGCAGGGTGGCCAGAAAGAACATAGGCATTCGTCAAAACCTGTAAATGTCCTTCATTGAGCATTTGTCTTTTAAAAATAATGACAAAATATAAGTACCCCAGTGGGGAGCTATTCTTTCTGTAATCACATGGGATAGTCTGGGGTTAAAAGTGTCCACTGGTGTATACATACAAGGTTGCTAACATGCCAGGGCTACATTAGGTACATCAGTGTTCCCCAACCCATGGTTGGTGGACCTGTGCCAGTCCACAGAAGGTTTTTGCTGGTCCACAGGAAATTATCTTCAACACACTAAATTTATGAAAAGTCAAAATTATTTGATTAAGAATAAAAGTTGGCTTTTCTCATGACACTTCAGACAAATTGTCCACTGCTGAAATAAATTATTCCAAGTTTTCCTTCTGAGAAACCTCTCTTCAAGCCCACCTTCCTAATTTTTAAAAGACATTCCAATATAGCTAGCTACTCCAATGGTTCTTAATTTTTGGCCTTCAAGCAAAACTTTTTTTGAGTGAGCAACAATTTTATACAACTTTGCCAGTCTGAAGAAAATTGTTGGGAAATTTGCTGGTCCATGAACATTTTCACGGAAATTTGCTGGTCTGCAGGGCCAAAAAAGGTTTGGGAACACTGCGGTACACTACTTGGTGTAAAATTGGTCATAGACATACCCCAAGTTCAAACACACAAATGGTGCACATTAGGGATATACACATGTGCAAACAAAGAAACATTGGGGTGCACAGCAGGATTTCCTGTGTGATTACAACTGCAGCCATAGTTTGGAGCCATGTCCCCACTTGGGTACTGCATACCTTTGACACAGGGAGTTGAAACAAGTGTTGAGCAATGTCCATGTTTTCCCTGAAGTGGGTCAGGCTCTTGTTTTTTAGTCTTAATTGGCCCTTGATGATTTCAAATGCTTTTTCTATTTCAACTGCCCAGTGCTTGTTCAACAAGGCAAGTTGCACTCTGCCACAGATGTCCTGGAGAGTCCATTCAGTCCAGTAGTTGCTTGGCACTGTTCCAGTCACCATTTCAGCCAGGCCTTTCACTGTCCTCTGGAAAACATTTGCATAAATTAGGTAGAATAAATGTTCATCATTTGTGGCTGACTTGCAAAAACAAAAATGGATGCAATACTGCGGAGGAGCTTCCGAGTTTTCCGTTTTACATGATTTGAAGTAGATAGAATGGAGGAACCTACACAATTTTATTTAGTGAACAAAAACTTCTCTCGGAGAGTTTATTTTTGCTCTCATGGGAGTAAACATGAATGTATTAAACCCTCCATTTTATTCAGTTTTAAGAAATATCCAATTGACTTACGTCAGGATCAACACTGTTCAAGATTCTGTGAACCAGATCTTCCCCAGGAACAACACCAATTGCTTTCAGGTGTGACAAGCGCATTCTTGACAAATAAGGGTACCTTGACGAAGATTAAAAATTTTTTATAAACTACGCGCAAAATAAAATAAAAAAAACTTTGGAAATAGATCAGTATGAACTATAGTACCTTCTCACAAGTTGCAGTCCAGGTTTATTGACTCCAATGTCCTTGAAACACTGGAAGTAGTTTTCCAGAAGCAGAGGAAACATTGTCAGAATCCTTGGTTCTTCCAGAACATCATCCCCTTCTACTCCATGACTCTGAGAGTTTTCACACATCCAACATTTAGTTTCTAACCGTGAATTGGTGCAGAAAGAATTATAATGGGGCCCAAAAAATGTGTCAATTTGGCTTGACACTTGAGAGTAAAACAAAAATCTGCCTCAAAATTCAGACAATATGACATTGGACACTGCCACAATTTATAGAAAAATGGAAAAATTTCAATTTGACATCTTGAAAAAATTCAGCAATTTATAATCAAAAAATTATAATTGAATGTTATTATAAATTTACTTCAATTCATGATCCAAAACAGGCTAATTTTGAGCTTCTCTTTTTACAGTTTTTTCAATCATATACATGCACAGTATACTAAGATGTATGTGCTTTTTGTTTTTTGGGCTTCTTCTGATGCGAAAAAGGCAGATTCTGAGTGACTTTTTTGGTACAGTTATTTTCTCAGGTCCTCACTGCAACTTACTTTCAGGATATCTGTGACGGCCACCAGATGGCTCTTCGGAACTTGTCTCAGCAATGCGTGTTCCTGCATACACATCAGCATTTTGCTCGCGGAAACCCCTAAAAAAAGTAATTTTCAAGCATTTACACAAGTGATGGTTTCAAAATGTCTTTATCAGTACCTCGAAATGAATTTTTGGTACGCTCAAGTGGGCCACAGAAAAGTTTGCCGTACAAATACAACACTGGGATTCAAATCAAAGCATCGTTTCATTAGCTAAATACTTCCTGCACAAAAATTGAAATATTCAAGCAGCCTTCACATTCACGAACACGGTGTTTTAATTTTTTTTCGATGATTTGACAGGACTGAAACTGCTTTTCATAAAACACGAGAATATTGCAGGAAAAATCCTCAATTTCTCACCAGAGGTGAGTCAACCTTATAATCCAACAAGCTGGGGGTGCCCAGCCACACCTGGGCATCATGTTCAAAATGTAATAATGTTCAAAATTGAAAGATTTTTTAGCAGTTGCAATGTCCAGAGGAGGTGACATGTTGTAGGTTCTCAGGTATTTTGTACTCCTGTTGTAGCTTTCCAGCTACACACAGGCAACATTTTAAAAACTGCAATGATCAGGTAGTGCTGGTTACGTGCTTAACAAACACCAGTAATCTGGTATTGCGCTTGATGTACAAATTGTAGCCCTGTACATGGTACATAAGCACATAATTTGCATTTTTATGTTTTGACCCCAGAGGAGGTGATCTCAGCCACACTGGGTGATTGTTCACAAAGACATTTATGCATACCATGTTTAAATTCTGCCATAATTCCATTTCATTGGAAATAGACACAATCTTTCACTGTGAATGAGCTTACCCTGGAATTAAAATCATGAAAACTCATATATTTTCCTGAAAGTGTAAGTCAATGTTTGAGGTGCACCTTGAATTCCATATCTGGCCTACAGAATCCCAGTAAATATTGGGACAATAAGGAAGGCCACTCTCCCTACTTGTTGGGGGTGCCCAGCCACACCTGGGCATCATTGGGAAAAATGTAGGAAATTTCATCAGACCAGGATCACCAGATCATTTTCATCAGATTGAGTACACAGCTGTTCTGAAAAGTTATACAAAGATTTAAAAATATTTTCCTGGTAAGAAGAGGTGACATATTTGAGGTCACCAATTGATTCTGCCCAATACCCCCACTTGTGACCCTCTGGATCCCATGGTGATTCATTAAGAAGTTTTTCCTACTATAAGCCACAGGTCATATGTTTAACATCCATCTCTATTTCCACAAAATAATGCTTGTTATCTTTTTTTTAACCTTAGGTCACATATTCCAAGTGTTTCCTTGCCAGACCTGAATAATATTTTTAAATTTTAGCAAAATAACATTTGACTTGCAATTGAATTATGCCCCTAACTTTGCAGTGGTCTCCCTAAAAAAATTTGGACACAGAAAGCTCATCTGTTTTGGGGAAAATTCAAATTGATAACACTACCCAGTGAAACAATTTGATAGATGGTCTATGCCCTTGTACCAATGGTCATGCATCAGAATTGAGGCCTGTGCAATTCTGACTTTTGAGAGAGAAACCCACAGAACTCACATGTAAATTCATGGCTCATCAGCTGGAGTCATGAAATTGCATTGACTTTGAAAGTGATCCTTCAGTAGGAGGTTTGTTATCTGTAATGAATACCAGGCCCTTCACATTTTTACCTACCCCCC